GAATAATATATTTGTGGCATTTATTTCTTCGTGCAATCATCATCTTCCAAGACAAAATCAGCCATTGCTTTAGCTAATTCTACCGTATCTATCATTTCATCAGCGTTTACTTCTGGGACAAATCTGCAAGTTGCCAACCTAAAGAGAATAGATATTATTTTTAAATTGTGAATCTAAAGAGAATAGATGTTATTTTAAATTATCAACCTGAAGAGAATAAATTATTGCAAATTGTCAACCTGAAGAGAATAGATATTATTTTAAATTGTCAACCTAAAGAGAATGGATATTATTTTTGAATTGTCAACCTGAAGAGAATAAATTATTGCAAATTGTCAACTTAAAGAGAATAGAATATTGCAAGTTGTCAACCTACAGTGAATAGATAAATAATTATTTTAAAATTATTTAATTCCTTTAGTTCTGAGTTTTCCCTATCCTCTTCTCAACAAAAAGAAAGTTGAAAGAAAGATGACTTGTAAGTCATTGATCATGACCTGACCTTTAATAACTTTGAACTATTTGTTGCACAATAAAAATATCACTTCTTCAATAACATTAATTTATCATAAACAAAACATAATATTTAAATTATCAAATAAAATGAAATCAACAACATCGGCTAGCATTAAGATTATTTTTCAGTTTCGAAAATTTCAAAATGCCACTAAATCGTTCAAATAATCTTACGAAAAGTTTTATGATAAATATGATAAACATGATAATGATTACAAAGTAGCAATTAATTCGTTCATTATAATCAAGAAATTATCAAACTTTTGTTGGTCCAAATTTTTGATATTTTCTTTTAAAACGAAGATAAGAAATAACATTAACTTTGTGGAAAAAAAGAGATCAATTGATATTTAGCTTATAAAATTAATGGCTCAAATGTTAATTAATTAATTAATTAAGCAATTACTAACTTATCAGAGTGAAATTTCGTAAAAAATTGACAAGGCATAACTTTCCATTGGAAGCCACGCTTTGAGTCAATCCGATCGATGCCCCATAAATGCATTAATTCTGAATATGAATTGCAATTCATAGCATTTGCATTTCTTTGATTTACCTGTAATTAAATAAATGAAAACTTTTTGTTTTTAATATTAAAAAGTTTTCATCTTTGTTTTGCTTCCTATTTTTTATGGATGAATTTAATTCGACAAAAAGTTGAAAGTTCAACGAAATAACGCTTTATCAAATGAGAAGAGAGAAAGTGGACGATAGTACCGATTTGTTTGAATGAATATAGTGCAATTGTGTTTATGTAATATAACTTTGCAGTTATTTCATATCATTACTTCAGGTCAAAGGGCAATAATTATTTGAGATCATTTTAATGCATTATAATAAGCAGCTAATCAAGTTTTTACTTCTTTTTTTTAACATTATAAACTATTTTACTTTTCTCTCTTCCTATTCTCTCTGTTATTTTCGCAATCTTATTCGTCTATAAATGTAATTTTCATATAAATTATGAAATTGTTTGTTGACCAATAGCACCGCATGAATAATATTTTGAAATGATTCTATCGGCCGTTCAAATATTAAATTAAATCGAAAATTCAAAAATAAATGCACCATTGTTGAAAATGTAAATTCGAAATGAAAATTTGGAAATTATTTCAAATATATAAATATATCGATTGAAACCATTTTACAAATTTTATGCAGAAATTTACTTTGTGTTTTGAAGCATTTTAATTATATAAGCCATTCTTAATTGTAATCTGTGGTTTTTAAATAATTTTTATCAGTGATTTTTTATCAATTTTTTCTAAATGATCTTGTCAGAAATTTGCTCGATAATATCAAAACGATCAATAACTTTCATTATTTCAGAAAGCGATTAGAGAAGAGGACTTATGTAAAACTTTGGCATAACCATATCACCTCGTGGGACAAGCTTGCAAAAAATCTTTCCAAATTAACTTATTTGTTTTAATTACTAAAACTATCAAAACGATCGATAGCTTTCATTACTTCAGAAAGCGATTAGAGAAGAGGATTTGTGTAAAACTTTGATAATTAGACAAGCTTGCAAAAAATCTTTCCAAATTAACTTATTTTGTTTTAATTACTAAAACTATCAAAACGATCGATAGCTTTCATTACATCAGAAAGCGATTAGAGAAGAGGATTTGTGTAAAACTTTGACATTACCATATCACCCAGTGCAACAAGTTTGCAAAAAATCTTTCCAAATTAACTTATTTATTTTAATTACTAAAACAGTTTAACTTTGTCAGATCCGTTGAATAACTCTTCCGTTGATTATAATTACATTATAAATGCTTCAACGATTTTCATTTCCATTAATCGATCGGATATTTCGAAGCGAAATTGTGGAATTTTATTGTTCGACAATAAAGAAAGAAATGAAAAGAGGAAAGAAGGATAAAAATTATTCCTGCAAACAATTTCTTGCTAATTAATTTATTGCACATTGCTGGACAAGGATTTTGGAATATTTGCGAATTTCTGAAATGGAATTAAAAACTTCGATATCAAAAAAACAAACTACATAGCATTGTCGTAGCTTTTTTTTTAACGTATTGTACGGATTATTGATGATCAGAAGATGTCAAAGGTCATTTTTGAATTGTTTTATTTCTTATCACATTTTATTTGAACTTCTTTCAGACGGTTCGGTATCTTCGGATATCTTCTAATACATAAACTTAAAACTTTACGGTATCTTTTGAAAATTTTGATGAAGATAACTTTTTTTCATAATGTTGAAGAAGTCAATTCTATTTTAAGATTAGATATTAAAATATCTCTTAAAAAAAGAAGTAATTTTATGAAGCGTATTTTAAAAATACAATCTTTTGATAAGTTCCATTTAGGAATGCAACATTTAGCCATTTCTTCTTATTCAATTTATGCCGAAGTTTCCACCCACTCACTAATACATTAACAATATTAAGAAAAAAATTTGAGACTTGAAAACTGGATGATATTTTAATTCACTAAAAAAGACTTTATTCATTTTTCAAATTGCTTTAAATTTACCTTTTGCATTATACTCTTAGTTTATCACACTTCTTGTATACCTTTTTAAAATGTTTCAAAAAATAATTTATTACTCAAAATTTCTCTTCAACAGAATTCATCGGTATATTTTCAAGCTATTTTCCCGCATAACTTCATGAATTTTCCTTCATGGAAGCCAGCTTTGCATTTTTTTGTCCATAACAGAACTGAAATTTTTGAAAAAGAATTTTTCAGATATATGAATATCTGAAACAGAGAAAATCAAATGTGATCTCTAGGCTAAAAAAAGGACAGAATATGGGATTGATTATTATAATGTTATCAAATGTTTCATTCTTTACCTTCTACTCTTATGAGCAAGAATCTTGTATGACTTTTCAACAAGATATAAATTGCCGAACTCAGCCAAATTCTAAAATCGTCCAAATTTTTTATTAAACCATATTAATTAAATTTTTGAGATGAGTATAAATGAACGATGAGACATATTGCGGTGGTGTCAAATGCTATCGTAGTATAGGAAATTTTGAGCTAAATTATATTAAATCAGAAGGAAGTCCTACACTTTATCCGCCACCTAAAATTATTCCTAAATATCCTATTTTTTCAATTTGCAACTTTCCAGATTCCAATTTTATAAAATTCATGATTTTCAGATTTTCTATAAACTATGAACCGACCAGGTATACTTCCTGTAGAGAAATTGCATCTGAGTAATTAATATAGTTTAAGTATATATCACGCGTTCAAAATTTGTTCAATTATGAACTACGCCAGTTGTGAAAACTTCACTATTTTCTTATCTGTCGGCATACTGCATATATTCCATATTAATTTAAGCAACTGCATATGTCGGCATACTGCATATATTCCATATTAATTTTCTTTGTTTCTGCATTGCATAAATGTGAACATTTAACGCTATAAACTGAATATTAAATTGAATATTTATTAATTATAACTTATATTTATTTATTAATTATATTATTATTAAATTTATTAAATATTTATTAATTATAACTTGAATATTTATTAATTATAACTTGAATATTTATTCATTTCCCGTTTGTAAATGATGTAATAGTAATTAATATTGAAACAATATCCCGAATTCATTTGTCACTTAGGAACAGCGACACTTTTTTTCGAGAAAATGAAAAACATACAACAATCTCCAAATACAATCCACTTACTTTATCTACCACCACGAGTAACGAAATAGGGTTTGGGTGAATATGCGTGATACTAAATGGTTACACGGTCTTTTATGCCTTGACAGTATTTAGAATCATTTCGGTAGTTTTCCTGAGTTGTATGTTCTTGTATTTCTTCCATAATTAGATCACATTTTTCCGGAAGTGATCATTTTTATGTATCACATTTTTTTTAATGTATTTTTATGTATTAACGAGCATGCAAAAGCAGAAGTACTGCACTGAAATATAAAAGAAATTATTGCTAATGATGACAATAACAACTACATTGAGCTTTATAGAAGAAAAAGATCGAATAAGAGAATTCAATTCAGATCTTTCTATTGACGCTTTGCAATGCAAAAAATTTTTAACCTTCTATATCCTTTCCACCGAGTTTATGTATTACGTTTAAACAGTTACTTCGAAAGCAGTCATTATGTATATTTTGTGAATAGATAAAATATTATCCGTTTCCGTTTGGAGAAATATTACTCGGTTATGTGTGGAAAGACTTTTGAAATAATTTCATGTTTGAAAACATTCAATAATGATAGAAAATTAAGAATAAAAACAAGAGAAATAGATATGTTGCTTGAAGGAATGAGTGTATGAATCAGCTGAAGCAGTATAACTAATAGTACATGTAATATAAGTGATAAATTGCATGGGATGAATTAATAAGATATATTATGTGTGGTGGAGTGAGTTTATACGAGGAATTGATCAAGTAAAAAAAGATTGATGTAAGTCTTTTTTATTGAAAGGAAGTGAAAAAGTGTTGATCGGTCAATTGATGGACTTGAAATGAATAGAGTAAACAATACTGAAATTGGTCCTGGTCCAGTTAATCAACAACAACCGAGACTTGTTAGAGAACCACCTGATGGAGTTCAGGCATTAGCTGCTGAAGCTGCGCAGCGACAGGCATTGCCACAACCAAATCAATTCGGTAGATCTGAATTTTCCAATGTTTTAAAAGCTTAGTGGATGTTGCAGAGTTAATAAATGTTAAGTGTGATTAGATTTGAGAAGTAAAGAGTAAGGAGTACGAAAAAGAAATATGTTGTCTTTGGCGAAGACACTCAACCGACAAGTCGGATATGAAGAAACATGAAGAGATTGAGAAGTATGAATGAGAATCTGAGATTTTTTTATGCATTTCCGTTGTCATCAGGTTTCTTTTCCACCCAGGTGCTGTACGCGATAGGTTATTTCATGCGATGCTTGTACGTGTAGCAATTAGTTATAATCGACATGTTCCTATGTTGGGCAAGCGTTTCATTGAATTTTCGTCATTAGTAACGGTATGTTTCTTATCCTTTTTTTTTTTTGATTTATTTCATTTCCATGTTCACTTCGGCTTTTTGTACAAATCAATTTGTTAATTACTCACCGATTGAAGCTATATTATTTGAAACTTAATATAGTTGAGGATGGTTGTTTTGAGTAAATTACTTTACCACAATCGTGCATGGATGAATTTTTAATATCTTACAAGCCAGCAAAATCACAAAAAATTGGAAAAGATTTCCGAAAATTACCACTTTTCAGGCGATAGTGTTGCTCTCAGTAATGGTTTATGTACATCATTTTTTTGATGAAACAGACAGCAACTGCTTAGCACCATTCATAGATCAGTGGCCCAGAAATGGTGTTTTGCGCGTAGAAGTTGTCAGAAATTTGAAAAAATTTAATGCTTATCAAGATAGATTACTAGGTAAGATTATATATTTTTGTTTTTAGACACCAGAATTTTCGATAAGGCAGTTTTTCTGAGATATTCTACCCGAATTTTTGAGATATTTTACCTAAATTCCTTGACTAAAATGAGCGTAGTTGAGTGGTTTATCTCTTCCTTTGTCATCTATCGCCTTTATATCTTTTCCTTTTTGAGAAATTCTGAAAGACTTACAATTCATTCGACAATTCGTAGAATCAGAGTCTTTATAAACTATTATTTTGTTTTATTCAAACATATTAGGCTGTTGATTTCAGAAAAATCTTATGAAAAACATGGCGGAGGTAATACAACAGTTTATGACTTGAAACGTGTATTGATGAAAGGTCCTAGCGCTTTACCGAAAGAATTACAAAGTAGACCTAAGCATTACCATCGGTTTGTTTAATTTATGTTCAGAAAGTAATAAAAATTAAAAGTTCATTGTTTTTTTGTTATTGTTGAGATAACTTTCTTAAAAGTAACAAGTGTTTTTAAAAGTGATAAGTGTTAGTAATGATTTCTATTCTCCATTTGGCGCCAGCAGCGGTGTAATTAATAGTTGCAGAATTTTAATCATTTCAGAAAAAGGAGCGATCATTGGAGCAGCTTTTTAACTTCGGAAGACTCGTTATTGAGTTTTTTTATAAGAGCGGATAATAATTTGAAAAAGAAGCTTTTTTTAGAGGAGTTAGACAACGATGAGCTTGACTTTGAGTCACAAGATTTGATTGGTATGTTTGCTGAACACACTAGATTTTTTCTACTCTCGTTTATTTACTGGAGGTTCTACCGAATTATTTTTTGTTGTAGTTACATCTTTCTTTTTCTTGCAGTTCTTGTATCTCTGATCTAATGTTAATACACTAAAACTGGCTTAAGTTTATTTAATGCATTGGTGATTCACTTCAAATGTCAGACATGTCCTCATATATATTTCAGATGATTCGGATGCGAGTTTTGAATATGTTGTGGAATATTCTTTGTATTATGGTTTGCTAAAGCTACCCCATTCGTATCGTCTTGAACACAACATCCCATTCCTTCTCGTTAGAGTATTGTTTTTTCCTTATTTTGTTGAAATAAAAAAAGATTAGAATTTTTGATTCAATATGCAGTTTGTTGTGGAATTGACACTGCTGCGAATTCAATGTTTAATCTAGCTGGTGATGAAGCAGTTTTTATTTTTGATATTATAGTCAATTAGCTGCGCAATATTATATTTCAAGTTTCTGAGATCTTTGCATTAGTCTAAATAGTATATTTTTATACTTCATGAAATTTCCAGGCCAAAGATAGGATAATTACAGTGGAGCACACAGCTTTGATTGAAGTACTCAGGTTTACTTCACTAACCCACTTTAGCGATAATTTTCAGCTAGATCCTGAAGTTGATAGTTGTTTTGGTGACTGGATCAGTCGTACACTGATGAAGAATTTTATTGGTTATGAGGATGTATTGATGTCTTCAGTGAAAGCCTTGGCTGAAAATGAAACAGACAAAGGTAAATTGGTATCATTTTATTTCTTTGTGATAGCATCATATGATCAAACTGTTATCAGATCCCTTAACTCTCATCCACTATGACTTTTCTTTCAGAAAAACACGTTGAAGCTGAAGTGCATTTTTTTAAATAAATTTTCCGACAACATGGCAGTTTTTAGAAAGAGCAAAAAAAAGGCTACAAGATAATAGAAAATATTTTGATTTTTGCATTTAGGATATTTGCGAGATATGATCACCGGGGAGCATTATCGATTTGTCACTATGGGTAATCCAAGAGCAAGTTATTTCACTGCCTTGATTGTCATGCTGATTTTTGTGAGTACTTTTTTTCCTTTCGACTGCAGCATCAAGTTTTACAATTAATTTCATATCAAACAGTTACACGATTGCAATTCTTAGGACATATTTTAACATATGGATAGGTAATGACAGTTTGTTTACCAAATAAATTATCTGCGAATGATTTAGCAAGATAGAACATGATATTTCTTCAAGTGACTCATTTCTGACGAACTTGAACATGTAGGGTCGTATTGCTATAGAAAGTATAATGCATGGAATGATTAAGTTTTATGTTTCTTGACATTTAAAGTTTATGCAGTGATGAATAAATTCAGTAATGGTTATTGTCGAATCTAAATAAAGCTGAAGAAATGAAGAATTGAAAATCTCTTCATCCACTTCAATATCAAATTCAAACTTGATAAAGATGTGTAGTAATTCTTTGCATTATGTTGTACCCTTGGAGAAATGCACTTTTTTGCAATTTAAAATATGCAAGCTTTGAATTGAAGTGCTTTCAGACGTTTGCGATATCGATGTTGCTGCGTTTTTCGCACCATCAAATATTCTTGTTTATTGTTGATTTATTACAAATGTTTGAACTCAATCAAGCATTGGTTTTTCCGGCTGCGCCACTCCTCACCGTTATTTTGGCTCTGGTTGGTAGGTTTTTGGAATTTTTAGTATTTTAATTTTTTGATTTAAATTGAACTATAATTATTCTTAGGGCATCATTACCAATATATGATGGTAACAGCATTATTTGAAGTGCTAAACCTTATTTCACACCTATTGCAAGTCAGTTCATAGGTACTTTATATGGAGATTAATACACATTTTATACACAATAATATTTCTGTTGCTGAATTTAGCGTGCAGTACAAAGCAACTAATTAAAAAGCATTAATTAGAGGACCAAAGTTGTGAACTGTTTTTTCATTTTGCCTGAAGGAAGTACAGAAATATTATTGCACAGGAAGGAGTTGTAGAGTCTTTTCAGGTATGGAAGCCATAATGTCGGAAGTATTCAATGATACCTCTACTGCATTTTATGTGATATTGTTAGTTTGGATTGCAGATCAGTATGATGCTATTTGTTGCCATTCACCTATTAGTAAAAGACATTGGTTAAGGTACACTTCCTTTGTTTTTGAGTCTTCATTAACCGATAGTTCAAATTAAGTCACATTACTCCCTACCTGTAAATAAACTTGCTGTGAAATCATTTTGCTTTTCTAACGCTGGTCACTAAGCTTCGGGTGTTTGTTAATGATAAGCTGCGTATTTATCTCACTTTTTTACTTGGGATTAAGTAGTTGCATATATTATTATTGTGTTAACTAGTTTGAAGAAAATAGTGAATATCGAATTATTTTGTGAAGTGTTAGCAGTCCATTGTTTCTTTTAAACAACTTGAATTTAATCTATCTCTCCCATAATGCTTCTTTTCGTAAAATTCAAAGCTGTCCTCTCTTGTTTTGGTCAGAGATCAAAACAGAATAAGATCGATATATTTGCAATCAACAAAATTTAATACTAGAAAGCAGAAATATCGGGATTTAAAAAAGTCTAATATTTAATGTGTCCTAAAATCAATTTTTGCTGTCCTAAAATCAATTTTTTTAATTTCAAAAAATTTGCTTCATTCGAAACATTCGGATTATGAGAAATTTCTTTGTCGGCAACGTGTTTTATTCATATTTTTCAGATTCTTCTATTTGTATCATTATGCATTTTATGCTTATCAGTATCGGTATAACGGCCAATATGGTGGTTTAGCGTTACTTACTTCTACATTTTTCATTTTGGTAATTATTTTTTTGTCTCAAATTTTATTTGAAATATATAAATGTCTAGTGGAGAATAGTATTTTATCGCTGAATCTTTGGAAACATTGGGATACAGGAGTTAATAACCAGTTTTTACTTTTCAATTCTGTTACATATGGATTACCGGAGCATGCTATTGAATTCAACTGAATTCCATAGAAATTTAGCAATTAAAACCACGTAGAGTTAACGATAAACAGTGTATTAGACTTTTTATTATTTGTCTACCTGGTAAATCTCTTATCTTTTGCTTCTTTATCCTATTTTTTATATCACAATTAACCATAAATACATTCAACATTACGTAAAGATGAGTTATTGTATTTTGATGCAGCACTCAATGATCTTCTTCTTCCATCACTATGAGATGCCTTTAATTATTTATCACGATAGGCTGCAGAGAATTATCAGTGACTTGCAACATAGTCCGGTTAGTTTATCTTGTTTTGTTTCACTTCTGTCTGACCTGCTTTCAGGATTTTTGGACGTTTAATTCAGTTATAGTTAAAATAAAATAAAAGCATATTTATATTGAGCAGTCACAGTGAATAATTCATATAGATTTTCGAGCAGGTCAACAAGCTTTTTTCGATTATCCAGGTTGTTTTACCCAGCCAGAGTTAAGCTTTTAAATTACTGAATTTATATTTTTTATTAGTTTTTTAATTTCAGCAACCAGGTGATGCGATTGGTACTTCTCCAGGTCCACAAATTGCAACAAACGTTCCTTCTAATGCTGCATCAACGTTACCATCAACGAGAAATGTAGCTGTTGAGATTTCAGCAGATATAAGTTTAGATAGCGAGGAAGCTTCATCGTCCAGGGTTGGCGCTACTGCAAACGGTACGTGGTCATCCGAAGCAGAAGAGATACCATCTCTATCGCGCAAACAACAAACTGCAGCTGAATTAGATGAAGGTAGCAGCTCAATGACTGGAATCAGTAACTTAGCTTTGAATGATCCTTTATTAGTGGCTGGTGAACGTACAGCACACGAAATTGTTGGCACTGCTATTGATTGCGTATTTAACTCAACGGTAACAACAGGAGGAGCGGATAATCTTCCTTTATGAGAATACTGTTTTGATTTCGTAAACTGTTAGTTATCAAATAATTAACTCTTGAGAAACATTTAAAATACTATGATTTCAAAGATGTAGGAACTGATAGCACGGTTATTGACAAAGTCTTTCTGTCAGTTTATTAAACTTTAACTCATAATTATCCATAATGTGCTGGGATTGTCTCCATGTACTCTTCTACGTTGGTTTAGCTAATTCAATTTGAAACTAATTCAGATGCAACTTCGACCTGCTGATCTGCTTAATATTTTCAGGAATAGATATTCTGTTTTTTTTTGGTTTATAACCGTGTAATTTCCATATTTCAGATTCATATTCAGGATGAACTTTTTTCTAGGAAGTCTCTTGATTAAATTTGAAATTCATGCTGTATGTTTGCTCCTGTCTAATTTTCTTGAACTAATTGCCAAGTCTAATTAACTTTGCAATACCGATTTCTTTGTACGCTGTCTGATATTGTATATAAAAACTGTTCTTTTTTTGGTTGAGCTATTTTGTATAGTATTTCATTGCTTTGCATCTTAGATTCTAGGCTTTGTTAAAATTATCTACCATTGATGTATTTTTCTTCTTGTAAGTGGTAGGTGTTTTAATGTGGTCACTCTTATGGCACCATTCGTGCGTAATCTTCAATCATACTGTTTTGTAGTCAAAACAAAAATGTTAAGACTCATTTATTTCGCATGACTGTAACCTATAGTGCACTGGAAGGAGTGCGATACAATTTTTTTCAGGTCTTACAATCTTTCAATAGAACTTTGTGACTACGAGTACATGAATCATGCTAGTTTTGTATGGTTTCAAACTGTGATATAGTATTTCTTGACTTGAATCAGCTTCTAAGTAGATATGCCAAAATTTTTTCAGTTATTTTAATTTCTTTTTGTATTATGGTTGACATGAACCTTTTCTTATATATAAATGATGTCATACTTCGTGCGATTATGACGAGTGAATAATATTCGACGTGTAGTGCTGGAAATTTATTGCACTAAGTAATGTGAAGACATTTTTAGTGTGATTTGTTTTAACATCCGGCAAAATCTTTTCGAAAAAGTGTTCCCGAAAAATTCTATTCATAGGTTGTGGTAGTGCGTGGGAAAGAATTTCCATATAGTGACTAAAAGGGGTTGTCCCGGTGATATAGATTAGTTGCTTTCAGGATTTACGAAGATTTTTTGGCAGGTTTTTAGATTTTCCTGAATTTATGTTACTTTCATATTGTTTCATGCTGTATATTTTGTATCATTTCATTTTGAGCTACATTTGAACAGAGAGTAAAGTTTTCCTTGATCGTTTCAGTGCAATACTTTATACTATTATAGTTTTAGTATCCTATCATTTTTGGAAAGTTTAGTTTTTTGGCTGAAAAGCTAAGGGATTCAATGATATTGAATTATTTGAGGAAATTTAAAAATGTGATGTGAAATGCTTAAAAAATAGAAATCAATCAGTAACTTTAGGAATTTTCCAAAAAAAAAAAGACGAAGGGAAAACTACTTAAAGCGGCTGCTAATTTTCTTTTCAAAAATTTGCTTATGTTTTCCAAATGCATCCGACTCCGTTGTATCACATCACGGATGAGCAGAAGGACAGTGTCTATGAACCTGCCGAAGATACCTTTTTGTTATTGGATGCCCTGGAAAAAGATGCAGAGGTATGCGAAAATATTGATAGCTTCAAAAAAAAAATTGATTTTGAAGTTTTGATTTTTTTCAAACATAAACGTATATTTCAACAAAGAGTTATATAAAAGGAAAAGAACTTGTTTCAGTCAGTACAAAATTACCAGCAGAAGTTGTATTGTAACTTTCAGATTCAGTTATTTTTTCCAGGCTTTAGAGCAGTTAAAACCAAATGTGGTTGTTGAAATTGGAAGTGGTTCTGGTATTGTTTCAGTATTTTGTCAGCAGTTGATTCGTTCACCAGTGTTTGCCTTAGTAACAGACATTAATTTTAAGGCTTTGCAGGTTTGGAATTACTTTGTTAAGATCAAGATTTAGAAATCTTGTCAAAAGGTTTTGAACATTTTGATTTTTTCAAATAGAAGTAAAAGGTACATCGTAACTCTTTTGAGCCGTGCCTCCTAACCTGTAGAGGCAGGGAAGGACTCAAAAGAATTGAAATATGACTGCAATCAGGATTGTTTATAAACAAAATTTTTAAAATGTAAGATAGACAAAATTTCTAAAATGCAAGTTTTGTGAAAATTACCTTTTTTAATAACAAATTTTACTTAATTCATTAATCTATCTTTAGTGCACTAAAACTACGGCACAGCTGAACAATTCATCAGTGGAAGCAGTTCAATGTGATTTGTTATCAGCACTGAGTTACCGGTTATATGGTCTCATTGACGTGCTATTCTTTAATCCACCATATGTACCAACAGAGCAAGAGGCTACTTCGGATTCTGCAAGCCAATTTTTCTCTTTTTTATACCATTAAAAACCGCTTTAGTTTAATATGTCGCATCCAAACTATTATTCAGGATTGTTACTTTCGTTATTCAAATTATATTATAATTTGTCAATATTTAGTAATAAGATAGCTGACCTCTTTGTAAGGATCAGCTTGTTTCTGGGACTAGTTTCAGGTTTTTCATACAATTATTTACTTGTCTTAGGATTTACTTAAGTTTTATTTTCGACCTAAATTTTCCATATTTCCCATTCTTCTTCTTTCTGTTAGGGCTTAAAAGATTTCAGTGAAAATGGAATTCTGAATTAAAAATCTTTATTTGCTCTAAAACTGTGCATTTTCACTTGCAGGTTCGTTGTTGGGCTGGTGGTCCGACTGGCCGTGGTACTGTTGATCGAATTTTTGCTCAGCTTCCAGAAATTTTAGCGCCTGGCGGTTTTTTCTATGTTGTTGCACTTCATTCGAATGATATTGTCAACATGTTAGCTAGTAACAAATCGACTTTTTCTAGCAAAATTCTGCTTGAAAGGAGATGTGGCATTGAGCATCTTTTTGTGCTTAAATTTACAAAATCAAAATATTGAAAGATATCGGAATAATTTGTCGTTCCAGTGCTAAATCAGTAGTGGAAAAAGTTTGGATGATCTTTGCATGATTTTTATGATATCTTAAAACAGAATACAGTGATTAATGAACAATAAATGTAATTGGTGAGGTTTTTACCATTCATATGCCTAAGAAGATCTGACTTTGGGATTGGATTTTATGTGAGAGTTACACTCCCATATCAGCATTTTGTGTTCCTTACATTTATCCCTAAAACTAAACGGCTTGTGATAAGATCATTTTACTGAATGATTAGTCTTGCCACTAATAAACATGTATCGGTGTATGAACAAGTTGATTCTCCAAGTACAATGAACACTTAATAAAGAATGAAAAATTATTTGAAATATCTGAAAGTTAGTCTGTTGCCAGATATTAAAGGATCTCTAGAGACGAGTAATTTCGACTTATTCTATGATTGATATTGTTATTTACGACTTTTGCCATTCAAAGATCTGACTTTGGGATTGGATTTTATGTGAGGCAAAATATGAAATTATGTAAAACTTCGAAATGTCACTAATACTTCTGCTAGTTTTCAGAATGATATAGAAGAGGTGAAGAAGAAAAAGAAATGAAATAATGCAACTATTTTCCACTCCCTTCATACCTTTTTAAAAAATTGCCCTCCAAAATTACTAATTTACATTTCGATGAAATTTAAATTCTTTTCGTTTCTAGAATTTTCTCAGTAGGCAAGAAAAGTTTTTTAAGTAACTTAAGAAATAAGAACAAAATAAGAACACTTAAAGCATTATCATTAAATATCACTTTCAATTATTAACTCATTTGTGATTGTATCACAAGATAAACATTTCACGTTATGGTTAAGAATCCTTCTCTGTTTACTTATTATCATTATATAATGCTATCTGTTTTTTTAGTTTCTTTATTAAAAGAATATTAAGGTTTTAAGATTGTGTTAGGATTCTGAAATAATCTATCCTGACTTCATAGTGACTTTTAAAAAGAATTTTGCCACTGAATTTAATTTTTTTTAATTGGGATTTTTTGTCATTAGTGCATTGTACTTCATAATGCGAGGAAAAGCGATATATCAAAAGTAGCGGAATATTTGAATACATTGGCAAAATATTCCTCTCGCTCATCAAAGCAGCAATTTCGACACCCAGGATTAGCTGGAATTCGAATTTCAAAATTTCTGGGCGGTAAGATTTAACAATTTCAGTGGTGTCTAATTCAGGACGGCTTTCTCTTTACCGTTTACTTGTGATAATGTTTCTGGAAGTATTCACAGGGTTCCGGTGATTTTTCAGAGGTTGTAAAAAATTAAAGATCCATTGGGAATTTCAATAAATGGAATCTACGCCGAAACTCAAAGTAAATTTTTTTCCATACTTTGAATTTTGATTTTATACTCCGAAATTTATGGTTTGTTGTGTTTCTTCTCAGATTTTAAAATTTGAAGTTCACTTCTGCTTAAAATCGAAAGAGCAAATAGCTGCTCAGTTTTCAGATTCTTTGCTTACACGGTTATCAACAAAATGCTACTGTTTTTCGAAGTAAATCAGGCAGTTTCCGGCGTCCTATGAAGAAATACGCTGATTTCGGTAGACGTTGAATATCTCCATTACATTGAAATGCTTCCTTATTAATTCTCGTTTTTAATATTTGTTGCAAATAGTCGAGGAAATATAGCCGCGTCTTTATTTAATGTTTGCCTTTTGTGTTACATAACTCCTTTGACTTGTCGGTTAAATTGCTCCTTGAGTTTTTAAAATATTGAATTTGCCGAATTATTTGGGACTCTTTTTTTGTTTAGAATATTTGTCTTATTCCATAATTATTGATAATGTTCGATTATCAGCTTTTTTCTCTTTTTCAGTTTTCATGAATGCCCCGCATGAAGTTGAATGGGAACATGCTTCAGAAACTGAAAGTGATGCAGGTAAGAGTATTAGATATCAGGTAAATCTACTTGTCACTTATTATGAGTTACCGTATTTTTTATTCGTTATGAATTTTTTTTGAAATTGAATTTCTCTAAGTTTTGATTTCACGAACTGTAAGGAATATGTGAAAAAACGTATTTCCTGAAATTATATTATATCGTAATGAATTTTGAAAAAACTTAATTTACTGGAACTTTAATTTATTAATTAATTTATTTATAATGTGATAAAATGGGCATATTTGTCCGAAGTCCACGAACTTTTGTTTACAGCATGTGTAGCACCAGCAGATTGTCGAGGATGGTGGTATGTCTCGCAACGTTTTCATACTAGGAAAGTGAAAGATCATGAAGGCTTCGAAGAGTCTGTGCAAGCAGTTGTCGACTTTGCACGAAAAGAAGTAACTTTTCTTTTTCGTAAGTTTAATGATGACACAAAATTTTTTATTGCCTATAAGATTGGGGAAAGTGTGGACTAGTTTCCAGAAAATGGATGGAAGCATTTTAAATATGAGTCCATGTCAAGTCTTCTAAGCAAACTAATGTGTTTCTGCTGAAAAAGTCCTGATGTCCTTCGAATAAAACATCATCTTATTCAATTTAAGAAAGATAAATTTAGGGACCCTTTGATGGACTACTCGGTTTTAGTCAAGGTGCTACCTTGGCTTTCTTACTTTCTGCTCTGAAGCGAAAAGAAGGTACATTTATGCTTCTTTATTCATAATTTTAATTTTTCCGACTCTTTATAGGCTTGCTGAATGGTGCAGAAAGATTTCGACAATTGCAGATTACAAGTTGAATACAATTTTACAAAAAAAGAAAAAAGTAATTTTGGTGGAGCTTTAATTTCTGCATTTGCTTTTAATCACATTTCCATTATCGGAATTCAATCTAGTGACCAAATTTCAGATGTGAATATCGATTTTAGATTTCTTATTCTGATATCCGGATTTCCGAGTAGAAATCTGGAACACCAGAAATTGAACGAAATGGCTCAGTCAAATCTTCCCTGTCTTCATGTATACGGTGAAGCCGACAAGGTTAGTCTTTGTTCAACTTTTTCTTCAAAAAGATGGTTGTGCTGATTATTTTTAAAAATTTATGATGGTTTGTACATTTTTGATCTAAGTTTTTGTATGCTAAATTCTTTTCGAATTTTTTTAAGCATCAAATTTTATGCTAAATTTTGAAATTTCAATTTATGTTGCGTACTTTTCCTATTTTGTTGGCTTTATTTTTTCAAATTTAAAAGTGTTCATTTCTCGATATTGAACGATGAATTGCCTTATAAACCAACCAAAAAAATTCACTTTCCGCTAATTGAAAATGTTTTTGCGTTTTGATAAGTAGATGCTAAATTTTACTTTTGATTTGAGTGCGCCGGAACTTATATAATAGTTTTTTTTATATCAATGCCAACCGGTGGATATTTGGATGAAGAAAAGCTGTAAAATAAATATAATTCACAAAAGTCAACATCAATTTCATATTTATTATTGGTGTTTTTATGAGAAAAATTTCTGCATATTCTCTTTTCATGTAAACAAAGGAGTTCGGTAAAATAGGAAATAATTACGATTTTAATAATGACGATCTAGGAGACTAGAACACTGAAACTGTTTGAGGTTTTCAAAATAGTTGGTCCTAATTTTGAAAACCATTGTCGATTTTATTTTATAGGTTGTTTCTCATGAACTAAGTGCAAAACTCGTGGAACTTTTCGACAAAGATATGATTGTTGTGGTCGAGCATCCAGGTGGTCATATGATGCCTAACATGTCCAAATATAAGGGGATGATTGATAAATTCTTCAAAATAGTTAAAAGTGTTCCCAGCACTTCGAAATAATTTTTTGATATTAATTTGTTACTATATTTGTTACTACATTGTTCGTATAAAAATTTGAAGTTAACAGAGACTATTGCGATCAGTATATGAAAATATAGCAGTGTGAATCGAAATTAAGTCATCTCTGTTTTTATTGGCTATAAAAAAATCCGGCAATAGTAATATGCTTTCTAACCGACTTACAGCTTAAGTGTGATAAAACAATGCTCTTAGTTTGAATATTTCAATTATTTCAAACTTGAAGTATTCAAGTGCTTTAAAAAGATCGATGTAACAAAATATATTAATATAAAATTGGAAAATATTGTTATTTGGGTTACGGTATCTAATGATTTAATGGTGTCAGCAGTGATTTGAAAAGATTATTGACCCTTTGTTTTACAGAACAATTTAACAGATCTTCCTTCAGATAAATATTATCAAATTTTGAGATGTATTTCTTGAAGAAAGGATACATTTTTCGACGAAAATTGAGTTAAATTCTAAAAAACTTAACGAACTTCATATCTTCTTGCTCTTCCTTTCTCTAAATTCCTTAGTTAAATTGTAATTAAGAAGCTGTGGTATTGCATGATTAGTCTTTTCAATCCAATTACAACTGTTTTGTCTTATATCTCATACTTTCTACCTCAGCTGAAATTCGGATGTTACCGAGATAATTGAGGGGTTTACTCTAAATGTAATAAAACTTGATAGTATTTTCTCGCACGGTGCTCAAAAAGATATTTTTAGAATGGTTATTATATTTTGCTATTAATAATAGTAATAGTAATCGTAGTAATCGTATTCATAAATGCTATCAAACATTTTGGCGGATTTTTCAGATTTCTCAGCATTTTGTGGTTTTGGGACCACTCGTGTAAGATGCTGTCGATAGCGTCGCTGTCGTTGTTTGTAGTCTTTCCGATTATAACCTTTTCCACTGCTAATCTTTTTCTTCTTTGGAACTGAAAATATATTATTAAATCGCACTTTTTAATAATGCGATCTTATAGTCCCCATAGATTAGGGAGTATAAGAAAGGAATGTGATGGGAATATTGATAGTTAAATACTATAAGCAAGGTTTCTGAAACCCGATGTCTATCTTACAGAATTTACAAAGAACTGAAAAATTCTCTCTCCTGCAGAATATGTGAGGATAGTGTTTTGGAACTTCAACAACAGCGATAGTTGTATTTAAAGAAAATGAAAAATGATCATCAGCTGTAAAACCGAAAAATGAAGTATTTTCTACATTTATAATCAAGTATCATGAAACCTACCGCTTGATGCATCCGTATTTTTAATATACAAGTTGAGAATTTCAGTCTTATTTGTTTTGCTATCCATTTCATTATCAATTTCTCCACTACCCTCAACAACATCATCTCCATCTCTAGTACCATTCAAATCACTACTGATTTTACTGGTTTCATTCGGATTTACATTGCTAATGTTTTTGTTATCAGGAGATTGCAGTTGTTTAATATTGTTCCAAGCATATACTGCTTCCTTCTTTAGTTCTTGTGGATCGTCAGATTGCTTATGATCTTCTTTTATACTATTCCAAGCTAGTACTGCCTCCTCTATTTGATTTTGTGAATCGTTAAATTTCGATTCATCATTTTGAATTTTTTCGGAGATCAAGCATTTTCCTTTTATAAATTTAAATGGTTTACAACATGGTTCTTCATTTACACACGGTTTTGTGTTACAGTGTCGGGCATGTACGATATACGTACCATTTCTAAAAAATGAAATAATAAAATAATGAATTTTAAATTTTCTATTATTAAAATTCTTTGCAGAATAAATGATGATGTTATAAATTGTAAATTTCTTCATCAAAGTTTTCGAATTCTATCAACAGAATTAAATTTAATTAAAAGGTAAAATAATGAAATGTAGAAAAAGCATACATACAGTAAGATTAGCGTACGATTTTGCATGCCACATCCACCGCATGAATCCGAGCATTCATTCCACTCACTCCAATCTTCTAAAATTAATGCCACCTAAATGAATACTGAAATAAATTGATATCTTATCCTTTTTTAATTTCTCTTCAGTATCAATACTTGAAAAAATTCGGATTTTTAACATATATGCTAAGACAAGTAGAAACTAAATAATATGCAAAAATTTCTATCAGTAGTAAAAAGGTTCCGGAAAATATTAATTTACGATTTGGTAAATCGATTAATAATTCGTTTGTATCGGATCCATTCTTTTCCTCCTAAAATGGAATGATTTTTTAAAAAAGAATTAATTTCAACTTTTTAAATTTCAACGAAGAAAATAATGTTTATTTGGGTGTTTCTTTTATTTTAACTTATTTTTGCAACGACAAAAAATTTTTCATTTCTATTTTACAATATTTTGTAATATAATATTTTATAATCTACAATTCTTATAATTTAAGAATTATAGTTTTAATTTTGTATAATACATAATTCATTTAATCGGTATAGAGAATTCATATCATTAATTAGACAATGATATATGCAAATTAAGGAAAAATTAAAAATTTGAATTTCAATTGAAATTTAAAGAATTAAATTATTACTTGGGAAATAGCTTGTTGTAATAGAAGAGATAAGAAAATGGGAAGCCAAATGAAGAACATTTAGAATGATGGCGATATGATTTTATCATGAATGAATCTCTTATTATATATGATAAGATGGACAGAATGATTATCATTGATGACCTTGGACCTATTCTATTTTCAGACATCTTTTATAGAACATTCATTGCTCCTTTCTGTTAGAAATGAAATCTATTACATTTTCCAGAAAGGGGATTAACTATACCTTTTTCATTATGAAATATTTGAACGTTGTTTTGGTTATTTCTCTTACTTCTACAATTTAATCAAAACATTTGTGTTGATTACAACGAAATTTAATTTTCATGTGGTAATAACTTTTTATGTATGGAATCTTTCAATGAATCATTAGCTTAGTTATCTAATCAAAAGAAAAAAATTCAATATCTGTCAACAACATTTAGATGTTTTTGAATTTTATCACATCCAAATTATTTATCATTATTCTTTATCATAGTTTGTCATAATTCTTATTAATTCTTTATCACAATTTTATCACATCAAAATTTTTGTTATTGTAAAATTTAGAAGAAATATACAATCATATATCTTTGAATAAATCATCAAAGGTAACTGAGATAATACCAAACAAACGCTCAGAGTATGGAATATACTATAATGTTGTGTTTTGACGATCAATTGAGGTTGATCAAAACACAAGCAAAAAATGACCCAATTTATAAATCATTTCAAATGAACATTTATTTTATTATATAAACAAAACAAGAAATTATGGCATAAGCTTTCTTGATCAATCAGAAAATATTATTCGTACTTGAGATTTAATCCAAGTAGAAAGTTACTTGTACTTTTAAGTATCATTTTAGAACAATTGGTTTCAAATTAAAATATCCGTATCACGAAGGAGTGAGTAGTAGATTGGGTTATTGCTTTAAAGAGGATTATAGTATTCAAAGATAGAATTATCGGTTGATTAATGAATTTTAAGGATATTTAATCTCTCTCTTTCTGATAGATCAGAATTGACTACAGAACTACAGTTATATATCATCATGCCTTTTCTTGATTGATAATATAAAAATTAATTTAAAATTTTAAACGGAAATTCGAGAATGGAAAAAATCCATGATAACTTACCTCTAAAGTTTTTGTTGATAGCAATTAAAAGATTCCTCTGTAAGTGATATTGTAGAGCAAAACAAAAAAGAAATTTAATACTTTGAGCAATTTTTTAAAATTAACTTTCTTGGAGTAAAATGTGTGATGCAAATAGAAAACATACTTTAACTTTAGCAAAGTCAAAGTTCAAATAGATTTAAAGATAATAACAGCAATGAGAATAGTATTATCATCACCGATACTAACAACCCGAAAATAATAACAATGAAAGTTTATACTTTTAAATGGAATACTCACTGATGAAAAGATTTATCCAACCATTTTATTACTGTTATCCATTTTGCAATCAGTAAAACTTCAATTGATCACTGATATACAATATCAACATTATCAACTTCAAAAATATCAAAATATATTTACGACAATATACTTCCAAATGTTTTACGATAATATACTTCCTAATGTAATTTCATGAACTCATAATATTTATGATAATATACGCATAATATTTACTATAATATACTTCCAAATGTAACTTCATAAACTCATCTGATGAAAACATTTACCCTATAATTTTATCACTGTTATCCATTTTGTAATCAGTAAAACTTCAATTAATTACTGATATACAATATCAACATTATCAACTTCAAAAATAACAAAATATAATATTTACAATAATATACTTCCAAATGTAACTTCATAAACTGAATTTATAAAACAAAAACGAATAAAATTTCTTTTAAAAAATTTTTAGGAATAATTTTTTAAATGTTTTTTAAACAATTAAAATTATTCAATGAATTATTTTCGGAAGACAAATTTTGTTTTTGAAATGATACAATAAATTTCATTCAAATTTCAAGCTAAAATGATACTATTGATTGATCCATTTTTTTAAATGATACTTTGAAGCATTTGTAAGTGAGCATTTCCAAAATTGAACAAAAGTTGAAATATGGATTATTATTTAAATGACTAATACTTTGGCATAAATGTATTATAAATTTTAGTAGCTTTTTAAAGTGCTGTTAGGAAATGAAAGAAATTGATAATTCATGTATTGATAGATAGATTAATTGATCGATTGATAAAATTGATGGATTTAAGAATCGTCTTTCAGGACGTTTTATAAATTTTCGACAGAAATTTGAGAAAAATTTTATCGAAGGTTGTTAAACTGCCATAACTAAATGTAATTGTAATTGTAATTTAATTTAATGTAATTAATTTAATTGTAATTTAAAGTTTAAAACAATTAAAAGGTTTCTTTATTTTGAAATCACAAAATTAAAATTTGAAATTTGAAACACAGTTAATTTAATTATCACTTAAATAATGAAAAAGCGATGAAAATTTTTATTTTTTGAAAGCTTAAAATTTTAAACTAAAAAATCGAATTTTTCAAATTCTCCAAAGAATTTGAGCATCTCATTTTTGAGCCTAAACTTATTTTTCCGCCTTTTCATTTTTATTATTCATTGATAGGATGAGATATGAATGTTACATGAGTGGATTAAATGAATGTTACATGAAAAATTCACAATTGAAGAATTAAAAAAATTCAGCATGAAAATGAGCATGATCGAAAAGAAGAGGAAGAGGAAGAGGAAGAGGAAAAGGAAGAGGAAGAAAAGGAAGATGTCGAAGGAAGAATGGTTATTTGAAGGGACAATAAAAACCATTTTGACAAGTGTTATGCAGCAAATATTTGATTGCTGCTTATATTTGAAACGGTTACGGCAGTTGCAAATGTAAAATCCCCAAAGGATATATAAAGGCCTGAAAAGTTTAATTTTACTTACAAAGCTTTATTGGACATTTTCACAAAACTTTTTTCACCACCCACTCCCACCCTTCCTCTTCAACTTTTCTAAAATGCCTAATCTTAAAACAAAATCTATGAATGCGAGAATAATAGCCTACAAAATATTTTCAAAATATTTCAACTACATACTTTTCCAATTTCTCATCTTTGAGAGCAGCAATTCATCTAATCACATCAGTCGTTTCCTTCATCTATCTTTCCTATTTTACATCTTTCTTCTAGGAACACTTTACGATATATATTTCTTCCCAATATAATTGAAGAGGTGATAATGAGTAAATGAAGAGGTGATAATGAGGAAATGAATTATTTTGAAGTTATGAAAAAATTAACGCAATTCTTTTAACACCTCCATTTCTATAGTAATAATTAAGATTTTGCTAATTTTCATCATTCTATTAGTATTAGCATTTCTTCACTTCTTTAAATAAGATTTAACAAAATTTTAATAAAAAGTTTTTCCCATTTTATTTGATTTGAATTATTCAAATTAATTTCACTATAAGTCCATTACTATTTTATCACCATTTTTATCGTTATTAATTTTATCACTACTTTATTATCATTTCTATCATTAATAATTTCATCAACCATTTTTATCATTAATAATTTCATCACTATTTTATCACCATTTTTATCATTAATAATTTCATCACTGTTTTTATCATTAGTAATTTCATCACTATTTTATCACCATTTTTATCATTAATAATTTCATCGCCTTTAAGAAAAAGCGGTGAAAAACCTTACTTTAAATAACTCTCAACAAAAATTTAAAATTTCTTTTTGAATTTTTAAATTTTGAAAAATATGCTTTTCAATTATGCAAAAATCAACTCCGAATAGCCAAAAAATATATTCTTCATGAGCAAATTCATTCCAATTTTATCACAAATTCTCTGAAAAATTAAAATGATTCATAGAAATAAATTGATGAACTTTTTTTTTAAATGATTTAATAGTCATTTCATTCCGTCTTATTTAACTAATAATCATAATTAATCATATATCTTATGAATAGTTTCCTAATACTGTTTAGTGATAAAAAAATATAGATGTAATCTTATCATTCAATTTAAAAGATATGATTTTTACGTATCATAGTGCACTTTTAACAGTAGTAAGATAGGCCTGAAAAGATTTGCCATAATGATTACGAAAGATGAAGGTTATTTTATTATTTTTTAAATTTTAATTCAAAGCTAATTATGAAAAGACGAGACCAAATATTTGCAGCCATAAATTTGCTATTAAATAAACCCATTCAAATTCATAATTAAACAACTGATTTAATCTTTTCATGTTAATTAGCATATTTAATACATTTGAATTGTTTTTATTTTGATTTTAAAAATAGCCATATTTGGTCAACAAATGGGAAATGATTCTAAAAATAGCCATATATGTGATCAACAATGACCACTGTTGACCAAATATGGCTATTTTTAAAATCATTTCCAATTCTTATTTCAAAAAAGAAAAAGACTAATCGATTACCAAAAAAAAACATCAAAAATTTTAATGTGAGAATGATAAGATAGAAATTCTAAAATTTGAAATTAAATAATGTTTGAATAAAGGAAGAATTCTTAGTTACAGCTACTATTTCTTTAACATATATTATATATTACTTAAATTATTATATTACTTAAATACTACATATATATTATTATATTACTTAAATAGTACTTAAGTACTACACATATTACGTAAATTTAATTTCCTTCCTTATCAAACATGTTTGAGAAGCTATTAGCGAATTAAAAAATTTCGATCATTTAATTAAACTTATAATTACTTGCTAATTAACTTTATCACGTATTTCAATTATTTATTATATCTATTCTGTGATAATGAAATTATGTATTTAATTTAAGTAAATTAGTAAAAAATTGATTTCTTTGATAAAAATCTATTGAAAATTTTGTATTTGAAAATGTTATCATTTAATAGAAAATTTGCGCTATTTCAAAATATTAATCGTAATTAATCAATTAATATTACAATTAATCAATATTACAGTTAATAATCAATTATAATACAAAAACAATTTATAATTAATCAATTATAATATAAAAATATTTAATCATTGTTTTATGTTTGATAATATAAAACTCGTCAAATTTTATTATAAGGAAATATAGTTTGTTTGCTTTTTCATTTCAAAATTTTCATTCCATACTAAATAGCATAAATTAAATTCAACGAAATTTGAATAAATATTACAAATTTTTTTTTAAATAATAATTTGTAATGAATTATGCAAATTTTTGTATATCATTTCTATTTTAATTGATAATATTTTCTGATAACTTATATTCAATTATGATTTTTTGATAATTCATTTAATTGTGATTTTTTGACTTCCTTATTTTATACGCTTAAATTTATTGCTTATGCAAACATAAATAAATAAATAAATCTAAAATAAATAAACAATAATTTATTAATTGAAAATAAAAAAATGATTGATCGGAAATAGTAATTACTTCTTTCACTATTATTTCAAAAATTTTTTAAACAATTGATCATCATATTCATCTAAATTATCACAAACATTTAGTAAACATTGAAAGTAAACATGTAGTAAACACTAAAACATTTAGAGATAAACATTAAAAGTAAACAATAAAAGTAAACACATAGTAAACACTAAAACATTTACCGCAGAAAGAATGAGAGAGAAACATTTAGTAAACATTAAAAGTAAACACATAGTAAACACTAAAACATTTACGGAAGAGAGAGAGAGAGAGAGAGAGAGAGAAAGAAAGGATATCATTATGAATTATTAACATTACATATATGGATTTAGTAATTTTAAGGCCTTTCAAATATTTTTTATTCCATTTAAAAAATAAAATAAAATATGATTGATTTATTGTGAAAGTAAAAGAAATGAAGAAGAAGAAGCAATCTCCACCCTTTTATATTTTCCATCCAAACAACACATTAATTACGAATTCATTCAATTTTTGATTTTTGAATGAAGAAAAATAAAATAGCTAAATTGAGAATCTTTCTTCTTCTTCTCTCTCTCTCTCTCTCTCTCTCTCTCTCTCTTTATTCTTCTCTCCCTTTTTATCGCTTAAATTTTTTTAAAATTTGATCTTCTCTCATTTTCAAATTTCTTCCTCAGCTTTGATTGACAAATCGAAAATCATCAAATTGCAGCTTGAAAGCTTTATTTTGTTTTTTTCTTGCACATTTTCTTTTTTTTATCCAAAGGCTGGCACTAATATTACATATTTTTGAAGATGCGATATTAGCGATATCAATGCGCGATTTTTTTTTTTCAATAAATTATAACCAACAAAAAATTATTCAACATTTTTTTTAGTAGAATAGTTAAATTAATTTTTTGGAATTCTAATAATTTAACTTACAATAATAATAACCTAAAATTCTCCACAGTAATATTTTTACAGTAATAATCTTAAATTTTCTACAGTAGTTTTGAATTGTTTAAAATATTAGGAGAATTAAAATTTCAAATGAACATCTTAAGTTTAGCATGGCAATTAAGTTTAACATGGCAATTACAATTTTGTCCCTCTCTCTTTCTCTCTCCCTCTCGTTATATATATATTTCGTTCAGCAAAATTACTTCCAATAATTTATTCTGTGATAGTATAGGATAAGATTATTGGGATATGTTACTCTAAATTATTCGAAGAGAATTTAATTTTTGTGTAGTTAAACGGGTTGATCACGTAAGTGACGTAAATAATTATGTTGTGTAGTACAAAATAATTGAGAAATTTTCCACCCGGCAACTATATATAAAGTGAATGTCTTTGTAATTATACATGTACATATATATAAATTTTAATTTTGCTTGTATTTTCTTGCAAATATTTCAAGTACACAAATTCCGATCATATATTGCATTAAAAGTATTGCGTCGTTTACGTGTTTTAGTTTACGCATTTTAGTTAACGTGTTTTTTTTCGCTCGAATTTTTTTGTTTGCCAATTATTTATAAATAATTAATTTGTAGTTATGAATAAATTCATTATTATATTGTTATTGCTGCCAAATAATAATGACATACGCAGTTAACATCGAAAGTCCAGTGGTTCGATTTTCATCATAATTTATTATATTCCATGTTTAATATATATTTTGTTCTATTTATTAGTTAACTTATCTATTTACCTATTTAACAATTAGTCAATATCATTTCTCTCAAAAGATAGATATAGCTAATTAAGAGAGCACAATAATTGTCCAATTGTATCATTTCTCTTAAAGGATTAGATATGGCTAATTTAGATCTTTTGAGAGTTGAGTGAACAATTAAATTTTAGTTATGATGCAACAATATACAAGATATAAACAATTATTAGAATATTTTCTAGTATCTATTTTATGATGCAACAATATGCATGAAATTTTCTATGATGTAACATACTAGAATATTTTCTAGTATCTATTTTATGATGCAATAATATACATGATATTTTCTATGATGTAACATACTAGAATATTTTCTAGTATCTATTTTATGATGCAACATACAAGATATAAATGATAATAGAATATTTTCTAGTAGTTAAAATTTCTCTTTGTTCAAATTATTCTCTTACAAAAAAACGATCAATCAATATAATTTTCCATTCAGCTTCGATAATTGACAACTTTTATTTTCTTATTTTAGCAAAAGCCACGACCACAAACATTGTGGAAAACATTTCGTCATTTTCATTGGAAATGTTTACTAACAACATTACTCGTTCATCTTTGTATCAGTTATGGTATTTGGTGTCACCTAAATAATTATCCTGTTCAAACTATTTCAAAGTAAGCTTATCTATCATTTATCACATTCAATCACACCGATTGTATCGTTTAATTAAATTGCTTAATAAAACAAAAAGTGTTATTTGAAAAAAGTATTTAAATAAGCTGTCATAATTGAAAATTTTTTTTTCATCGTTTGCTGTTTGTATTAGTTATGTGTGATAAATTTTAATCTAAATAAAAAGCTTTTAAGAGAATTTTAGTAGTGTTAATTATGTTAGCTTAGTAAATTAGTACACTTACATTTGTTTATGCTAACATAGATTGCCTAAAGAAGAAAAAGTCATTTGACATATAGAGTATAAAATAATTAAATTTATAGATATTCATATGGGCCATGTTCTCAGGGATATAATTTCATACCAATAGCATTTGGCATTATGTTATACATTATTTATATTATGGAATGCTGGCATAATCGTATTAAAATTAGCAAAATTAAAAAGGTAACATATAAAGAAGTATAGTTCGTTTCATATACTAGAAAATTTTTTCATGTACTAAAATTTAGTGGAAAATTTTTATTCATCAAAAAATTGCAAAAATAAGAATTCACTTACTGTAGTGAAAAGTTAGACAGTTAGTTTTACTGATACCTGTATTAGTTATTAGTAAAATAATCAGTTAAATTATCTCAATAATTGATAAGAATTTATTTAATTGAAATTTTTTAAAATTTCAATTTAAATTTCCAAATACAAATGGCATCAATATGATATTGTTGATACTGTATATGATATTGTATGATATTGATATTGTTTATTGATATTGTATATTGATATTGTATATTGATATTGTATGATATTGTATGATTTTTTCTTTTAAAGTTAAATTTAAAAAATCTATTTGAAAGAGATAAAAATTAAATTCAGGTGAATTATATTGAAGCAATGGAATATATTCAAAAAATGCGAAATGCTCCACCAATTGTTTGGTGGCGAAGTATTTGTTATCATTACGTAAGGCGAACAAGACATGTTACCAGGTATACTGTTAAAAGTTTTATTGGAATTTTTTTATTTTGCAACATTATAGAAGTAAGCTTAGTGTGAAATTTAAATTATAAGTAATAGCAAGGATTTGTCAATTTAGTTTTAAATTTTAAAAAATCTTTAAATTTTATCTTATGGAAAGAATGGCAGAAAATACGAATTAATTAAACTTAATTTATATTATTATTAGTGTTATTGTTTTTCACTATATATATATATATATATACTTTCATTTATTGAAATATCGCTGGGTAGCAAGCTTTGGAGCAGTATTTCTGGTGGTTGTAGAAGTAATACCGTAATAACTCCTCGTTGTATACAATATATATATACTACTACTACAACACACACACCACACACACACACGTACAGACATACACCACACACACACACACACACACACACACAGGTTATGATAATTTGTTTTAATTTTTGATGATGTATGCATGATCTCTTGATTTTTGAAAAATTTAAGCTTTAAAAATTTGCAAAAGAAATTTCGAAATTTTTAAAGTTAGCATTTAAATTATAAAATTGAAGGTATAGAAATGGCGATGCAATCTCAGCATTACAAACTTTTTACGAGCGGATTAATTCACATACTGCTGGCAGCATTTTTATATATGATTCATGTGGTGTTAAGGTAATTCTTTTTCAAGTAAAAATTTGAATTTATAATTTCAATAAAGTCAAGATAAACATGTAATTACTAATTATTACTTTTACAGAACGTACAGTATATATTGCGCTTAATGTAATAATGAATGATTCAGCAGGATATAATCCTAGCTAATATGACAGACTAATTAGCCAATAAATGAAGTATACTTACGGCTAGGTTGATCCATAACAATTAGCACAATAGAAATGAATAATAAATTAAATTGTTGCAACATTTCGGGAAATTTCATTGAAAAAAAATTATTCAAAAATTTTACAACGAATTCATATGTTATCAATTATATCACATGTAATGTTGTTGTAGTTGTTGAATTAATATTTCTATAGGATGTATCAAAATCATTGATTGATTTGGAGCGTTATCCAATTACACGTATCAATATCACTAAAGGATTCATTTTTGCCTGTATGCAAGCAGCTAATGAATTTGAAGATCAACGTTCACGCTTTTTTATCGAAAATGAAATTCTTGATGATTATATGGAAGTAATGAAAATTTTAATCGATAAAAATAATTGAATAATTTTGGAATGACTAAATATTGGCTAAGGCTGATTATCATAGAATATTGCATGAAAAATCGAAGATTCAGTGTAAGAGCTAATAAAATGATATTTTTCTTATGATATATCAAATGTAAACAATTTTAGATGGGATTTGATTTTGCCGGTAAACAATTTTAGGTACGTGAAGGACTTGATTTTGCCGGCATACAATTCATTGAATCATTAATTGTTTATTCATCACAGTCTAACAAGCGTCCTTGGTATTTAACTTCAACCGCATTTTGGATTTTGAGCATTGTTTTACTTAGTTGGCCACTAAGATTTATTTGTGATCTGCGTACCGCTCATGTCAACTATCAGATTTCTAAATTATTTGGTACAAATTATTTAAGGTAAATATTATTTTAATAAATGATACACTTCCATGGAGCTTACTTTATACCTTTTAATTAATCTCATTCATTCATTCAACAAAGAAAAATGCTTAATTTCATTAATTCATTCATCGATCCGTTCTAAAAATCAATGATTATCAAAAGTTTCCATTAAAATTTGAATTTTAGTCCATCAAGTGTTAATTACACTGGTATGATAACTCATGGATCTATGGCTGATAACGGTGAATTTGAATCGACAATACAAAATGATAACTATCTTGTTGTGCCAAGCTATAGTGAAGCTATGCTTATGGAACCAACCAATCAGGTTAATGATTGCTTAATGATCAAAGATAAGTCCGAATATGAAGGGAAAAAATTAAAAATTAAAATCTAAAATGATCATTCATTTTTTTAGGCCAAAAATGATATCGTGAAAATGTGAAAAAAACAAATAGATTAAATTCCGATTTTTAATTTCAGACGCTTACCTAACAAATTTGATACAAGTTTTTAGGTAAATTTTTTCAGTTCTATTAAAATGAAATTATTCTTAAGTAATGAAACTAGGAGATTGTAAAATATTCGAAAATACACAAAAATTAATTTCGAAAATTTAATTTCATTTTGATTCGTAATCATGTTTTATAGAATGTCCTTCCCAATGGTCATTTCCGAAATCGGAATCATGTTGCAACAACATGTAGTGAAAATGTTTTAATTATGAATTATGGTGCTGTTCGGAGTTCACCAAAACGCTTTTGGCAAAATGAGCCCAGGCGATCACCAATCCGGCGTAATTTCGCCGATCATATTCCTTTCCAAAGTCGCTCTCTGAGTTTGATGTTCAATAAGTAAGTTATTTGTTTAGCATTTTATCGCTGGTGATTTCTTCTCCTACAATATGAACTTCATCATGAGATAGTTACTAGAAATCTTGAAATTAGAAAATATATTTCTGAGAAATTTAGATTGATAGAAAATGCACTAAGACTTATGCTAGCGATTTAGTGGAAGCCTAAGTGAACGAAACTATTACTTGCCTGAATAGAAGGTAATAGGATTACATCCATTAAAAATAGTTCAATTCTTCCTACGTTTATCTAACATTTTGTTATATTTCAAGAAACATATGTAGGAGAAAATCGATAAATCTTAGTTTACTTTTTACTACAGTTACAAAACTTTCAAATCTGCAAATTTCAGAGTAATTGGTCGATCAGATCCATTGATTGTAACTACACCATCATCAGCGCTTCCGCGAACACTAAGTGGTTCACCACGATCAGCAAGTATTGCAGGTTTATCAGCTGCATGGCGTTCTCCTGGCTATAATACAATAAGTGAAGAACCAATGGATGATCGATATCCATTAATCGAACCGATGAGACCTATCGATGAAACACCTCCTCCCTATGAAGTATTTAGATTTAGATGTTTTGTCAATATATAAGAGAAAGAAAGATGGAGGATGATGAAGGTACCATGTGATCCTTGTAAGTATTAAATCTGATAATTGCACTATGTTGCTAAAAGAGTAATTAAAGAGTTGCTATTGCAGGCAGCGTTAAAGATGTGTGCACCATTTTATAGAAGATTACGACGATCAGCGAATTCTCTAACATCTCGATTAAATTCACTATCGCAATCAACTAGCAAAGAACTTTCTTATAAGCGACAGATTCATCGCGATGATCAAGGATCAAGCAGGGATGACAGCTATTGAATAAAACAATTCAGCAGAACTACACAAATTATATTCATTATGCAGATGTATTTTATTGAGCATTTAGATGAAGATTGTTTGATGAAAGGAACAAGGCGCTAATGCTATGCGCTAAATTAGCATAAATTTATTAATTCTTACAAAGCTTTTTCATCTCCACAAGGTTCTTTTTCTTTCGTATATAAGAATAGTTTTTTATATTTGTCGATTAGTTTCTACATAAATGTAATCTGTCTAAAGTATTTAAAATATGAGCCAGAGGTACCATATGCATAGATTAACTAACAATTAAGTAAATGAAAAAACAAAGAAGATAGTTAGATCCCTCTGTAAAAAATTTTAGAATTGGTCACTAAAATAAATTGAATCAAAATGAATTAAAATGAAATGGATCAAATTTTCATTGAAGTAAATTAAAATTGAATTGAATTGAAAAATAATAGATTTCGGGATGTATGATCTATCTTTTGAATCAAAAATGTAATTTCAAAAGGTATAAAATTTGAAAACAGTAAAAATGTGGTAGCATTATTTATCAAACCACAAATGATTAATCCAACAAAATGAATCATTTGATATGGATGATTAATTTTTATTAATGGTTGAAAGCTTTTCTTTGCTGATACTACTATACAAATTGCCATCTTCCTCATTACAATTGTTGTTGTATGAAATATGTGAATGAGAATTAAAAATCCTTCTCTAATCTCTAATCCAACAGATCTCTCTTACCTAAACCGTATTCAAATATATGTTTCCTCATCGAAATTTAGGTCATTTCCTCAGATATACGTGACCATTTCAATAGTTCTCAAATTGTCATGTCCATTCCATTCATTCATTCCTCTTTTTATACAGTGCAACAATGCTTTCACTTTTCCATACTTTCTTTCGTTCTACTGATGTCACTTTTGTTCATAATAAATTATTAATTAGGAGAAATAATAGTCACCTCATTGTATTACTTTTGTATCCGATAATTCCAATTTTTTTTTAGGAATTAATTTTGTATTGATAAATATAATTGATAACAAATATTGTCGATATATTTTGGTAATTCAGAATTTGTAACTGCCTCAACATTCCTGTTTTAAAGTTATTGTATAAAAGAAAATTTGTGAACTTGTTGACAGGAAGTTTTTCTCTGTAATCTTCTTTTAAAGAAGATGTTGTTTGCTATAAGTTATGGGCTGTTTGTTGCTTTAAAACTTCCAAAGCGCTCCTACGTTTTTATAGGTGAGTGTGAAGAAGGTATGCAAGATGGCTGAAGTAATTACTGTCGACACACACACACATATATTGATTCAAATATCTTCTAATTCTTCCTCATTATAATTTGAAATTTATTATCTACCTTTTGATGTTCCGACAATCCCTCCCTGATTGTAGCAATTTAAAAAGCTATATCATTATCTGACAGAAGATGGAGATAAATTTCAGACAACAAAATAAAACTTCACAGATATTCCGACATATATTAGAAAAGCCAGTTTATTTCCCGCTGTTTAAAACATCTTGCACAACATTTCTCTTCATATCTAAATTAGTAATAACATCTTTTGTATCGAAATCAGAATAAATTCGAAAGCAGCAGTAAGCTGATTGCTGTATTACTTCCTGCTTCCAGAAGAATTTCACCTAGAATTGTAGTAGTACAAGATTCTATCTAACAGGCCTATTCACCTGCAAGATTCTATCTAACAGGCCTATTCACCTGCAAGATTCAAATTTTCATCACTCCCGCAACGCGCGTAAATAGGCTTAAAAGATCTTATCAACGTTTTTGCAGGCCATGCAACGCGATTATTTCCCTCAAGCCTATTTTAAACGAAAGTTACTTCTTTTCCTTGTTTTCCATAAGGTAATATCAAATTAAGATTTCTTCTGAAAATTGAAAAATATTTTCAAAACATTTGCATTATACAACATACTACCTCTGCTATTATACTTCACATCTACTTTTTCAACTACAATTTCTACCAAATATCAGTTGCTAAAGTATACAGCTAATGAGCAGTGCTTTCTAATTTAAATGATTAACATGATGGATATTTTAGATTAGTGAAAAACTACTGGACAGTGCTTTAATTTGGCCAGCAAATGCGACAAATTATAACCTCTTAAAACGATCCAATTCTACCAAAAGTACAGTTTTCACACACCCCCTTTAAAATTCTTTAAATTTATATTTATTAAATTTTCAACACTTTCATCAGACATGAAAGCAATTCCAAGTAGAATTGCCCACATTATCACAGGTATTTTTGGACAACGGAGCCCGATTCGCAATGTTCCGATAATGCACTAAAGTAATATCCCCTCTGTTACAGGACCCGTTAAAGTGTATGTAACAGATATAAACAGAGAAAGTGGTTTGTACCGTAATGCTTAAAGTTTAAATGTATCATCCAGTTGAATCATGTAAATTTCAGATAATACCGTAGAAATTCGAACAGATTTTCAAGCAAAACTGGTCTCATTGCCTGAGCCATCTCAAACCGTGGATTTCCGGTTTACAGCGCCCCCATCAAATCAGTTCAAACTGATCGCATCTTCATTCTTGCAAAATAAAAGGAAAAAAATAGAAGGAAATATCAAAAAGAATCGAAAGCAATCGATTTTGTTGACTCGAGGCATTAAAAAATTCAAGAATAACAAAAAGGTGCTTCAAAAGAATTCAGAAGGAACAACAGATCGAGATAACAAGAAGTCATTTAGGAATTCGAAATTTCGGCCATCTACTGAATTTTGGAGACGGAATCGTCAAAGTTTTGCAACAACCAATCATTCCGATACAGAAAAGCAAATTATTAATTTGATGAATTTCCAAAGGCTAAAAAACATTGAATATCAAAACAATGAAACAAAATCTGTTGCAGTGGACCAACGAGAAATAATGGGAAGTGAAAATGAACGATACGAACAAATTAAATCACTTACTTCGAGAAAAGGCATGAAAGCGATCTTACCTATGAGTGAAGCAAAAGGTGATGATGATTTTGACTTATTGATAAATCCAGAAACAAATTATCCCGACATGTTGACACCAAAATCATCAATTTGGTCTGATCACATGCAGTTTATCAATAAAATGAATAAACGCATGGAGCATGATAAACAAAAACAAAGAGAACATCAAAGTTTGAATCCAGACTGCGTTAGAAGTACCGCCATTAACAATCAGCCATGGAACCCAATGAACACTATTGTACAATTAGGAAAAATTGGGACACCTCAGATACCGATAGTAAACCGGTTCCCGTTTCTGGCATCACAGGATCAACTAAACTACCAACAAAATCCAGTGAGCTGGGATAGGGTATCCATATTCCAAGGACCAACAGATCAATTTGTCACACCAATTATACCTGCAAATGGTATTTTCAATAATTTCGTACATATGGGCCCGTCTGCTTTAAACCTTCCATGGATGCCAAATCGAGGAAAAACTATGCACCAATTATGGAGAACAATTAATAGTAGCACTTGTAGGGAATTTAATGAACTTGAACAATCCATAAAGAACTCTGCAAGTCCCATGTATACAGGATATGCCGAACCTGCCTTACGAACTCTTCCTCTACCAACAGCTACATCAATCCCAAAAACTAATCCACTTTTTGATGATTTTCGATTTTATAATGGTGTACCAACAATGAAAACGACAAAATCAAACGATCAAAACACTGGTAGCGGAACTAGTGTTCACGGTAATCAGCAACAACAAAAAGATCAAAGAACTCATCTCGAAATGAAGTATCCCATTAATCCGAAAATGAATACAAGGTTCTTATTTTCACAATATTTGTGAACATCGAAATGTTATATCATCTTTAAATCTAAATCCAAATACTGTTTTCAGATTAATAAGAGTTAAAATGTGATTCTGGAATTTTTCTAAACCACTACAAGGTAACCTAAAATTTAATTAATAAGAACCAAAATTCTCAGTAAACAATATCATATTCTTCTTAGTACCTATATTTTCCTTAATTCAAATCCTGATTACTCAAATCCCAACTACTCCTTTTTTAAGTGAAACAATGGATTCAATGGGGAATCAGTATCAGCATCGGAATTTTTGATTTTAGTGTGAATGTTCACGAATTGATTGACTGCTGTGTTCGAGTGGTACCCGTTAAAAATACAATGTGGATATAAAAATTATGATATAATGAATTTCAATTTTTTTCCGAAGAAATCTGACGCTACCAGCTGCCACATACAGTGCAATAACTTTATCCCTCTCTACATTCTTTTGTCTTAATCCTCTTTCCGCCCACTCCACATACCTTTTCCTATATTAAGAGCTAATCATTAGCAAAACTTTTTTGTTTCAAATGATGATCTATGGAAATCAAGTTCTTAATATCTCATATTTTGCATAATTCCTCTTCTCGAATTTGAACAGCTTATTTAACAACTCTGAAAAAATTATAACACGTTTCGCTGAAAGGAACAACCATTTAATACATTAAATTAAAAACACAAAAAATCGGAACTAATTAATTGCTGTACTATTAGGCTATTACAAAAGCGAGTAAAGATTCACGAAATAAACCTCGAGGATTTTCATTGAGCAAAGTAAAAAATTTGCGCTCGACCTTTCCGAAATGAGCGAATATCTTACCCTAAAGAACGAAACACTTAAGAAAAGGGGACAATAGTAGAGATAAGCATTAAAATAATCAATGCGCCAATCAAATAAGCGAAAAAGATTTATGCAAATTTTCATCTAAAATCAATTTATGTTTTTCAGGGCGAACCTTTTTAATGATAATAAAATGAGTGGCGAAGGCATTTTTCTACTGTATTCTTGAACAATCAAATGAATTTATTGTTTCATTTACTACAAGATATTGAAAAAATTTTTAATAACAAATTAATACCTGTAACCTTTACCCAAGGAGATGATTACACAATACCTGTGTAAAAAAAGTTAACGGAATTCATCCGGAAAAAAAGGTAAGAACAATAAACACATTAAATTGCCATTAAACGCTAAAAAATACATGAAGAATTTCTAACACAACCCACGACTTTCAACAAAGTCATTAATATCCGAAATGAGACATAACTGCTCAAAATGTGTGATTCCTGAGCAAATAACCATTCAAATGGTTCCGGTTGTGTAAACTATTCATACTCATCTTTCAAATTGCTAAAATGAATGCACAGAAATAAGCAGACGCCGAATTTGGAAATCAAAATGAAATAAATTCATTATGCAACTCACCCAAATAAAGTTTGCAGTACTAGACCTGATTTCACCATTTTTTCTATATTTCTGATTTGTTTCCAAAAAAATTTTCAGTTACAATCCTCCACTTGTTTTTCACTTTCGTGAGATACGTAATTCTACCATTTATAAACATAAATTACGAATTAAGCCAAATTTTATAAACATAGCTAAGAACTAGCAACACAACTAACAGCCTATTGATAATTATTATCCAGAACAACACGACTTTTTGACGGGAGGTGGATCATCAATAATCAACAAGTCATTCCTGCGTGAGGCACCATCATGTAACACTACATCTGTCTCTCGGAACTGAGAATGTCTGGCTCGTTCAACTAAACCTAAAAAAAATCCAAAAAAGCTACAAATCAATCGAAGTGAATAAATTCATTCAAATTTAAATTAAAGTCATCTCTTTAATAGAATATCATTCATCAACTTTAATAGTAACTCTATTGTAACGAAAACTTTCAATCATGTATCTCTTAGTTCATGAGATTTTTGACAGTACTCTTCTACAGAAAGACTTAATTGTCGCATTCGAGCATGCAGCAGAGTATAATGTAATGCGACCAAACTTAGCATTCCTCAAACTAAATCAGGGATGTGGCAATTAACTTTGGAAAATTAAAAAACTCAAATTGGTGAGGCATATACCTTTCGCGAGGTAATCAAAAACTTGTGTTACACCAACGTTGTCTTTGGCTGAAGTTTCGAAATGTTCCGCACCGATTGACTTTGCATATCTAAAAGTTTCAGTGAAAACCTTTCTATTTCTTTAATAAAGCTCGTGAAACACTGACAGAAAAAAAATTAAGCTTTACAAAAAAACGAACCCAGTGGTTTCACTGATATCTACATTTCGATTTCGTTCTAAATCCACTTTGTTTCCAATAATCATCAAATAAACATCATCACCTAACATACGTTTCAGTTCCTTTACCCACATTTTTACCTAAAAAACTGAACAGATGTGAACACTTAATCCTTATCAAAGTGAGAGTAAAAATGTTATCAAATTTCAGCAATATGAGACATTGCAAAACAAAAGCATACGATAAAAAGGGAGTACCAACTTTCTAAACAAGGCTTGCCACTCTAACTAATCAACCATTTACCTTAATCCATTATTGCTAAATAATATATAGTATTTCAAGCTTTATTTTTCAAAGATAATTAGCAAAAAAAACAAGAAATCCCAATTGTGCTCATTCACACACCTTTTCAAAAGAATGGGCATCGGTAACATCGTAAATTAAAAGAGCACCATGACTGCCCCTATAATATATAGGACCAAGTGCATGGAACTTTTCCTGTCCGGCTGTATCCCATATATTCAACTCCACTACCTGACCATCAACGTGAAGTTTTTTGCTCAAAAATGAAGCCTGAAAAGTTCAAAGTAATAATGTAACAAAATTGTTTTACAAATGTGACGAATTCAACCTAATGCAGGACATGAGCTATTAGTCTGAAAATTTATGATCTAAATTTTTAATGACTATTTCCGTAGTCAGTAATAAGAGCGTCGCTTGAAGATTTTAAAGAGCAATTTTCCGGAAAGACAGAACCAAAAAGGGAATCACAGGGAGAATTCTAGACGGATACCGAAGAGTCGTGAAAAAAAAGTTGGTTCTGATCAAAGCAGTTTGCGGAGATGAAACCAATATGGTTCGAATCAAACTTTATTTTATTGAGGGACAGGTTACAGTTGACCAACGTTATTCAACTATATCAGAAATATTGAGAAAGTAGTTATGGAGGAGCGGTGAATGCGAACTTACAATCTTCAAATTATGAGACTGACCTACTTCTTCTACATATATATATATATTTATAGGGTAAGAGTGGTTTACAATGAATATCATATAAAATCCTATTGGATACTAAGATACGCGGAATAAAAAAAAATCTGTGTAAATGAAGATCTGATAACAGTATAACGATTGAAACATGACTGGTTATCAGACCGGAGACATTTATATGAGAATGAGTTTCCGGTAATTTAACCAGTAAAGATAAGCATGGGAATCAAAAAAAAGATATGAGAAACTAGTAAAATGATTCATTACATTAGACAATGTAACATCCATCAAATTACAATTTATACGATGAATCACTTCAGTAAGAGATATTTGTATAATTATTTTTATTATTTAGACATAATTATTTCGAGTTTTACGATACGAGGCAAGTAATAAAGCGGAAAAGATAATAAAGTTGAACTGATGTTGAATAAGCAAATGGCTTCCAAAATAAAAATAAGTAGTTTTTTTATTTCGAGATCTATTTAATCTTCTTCATGTCAGCCAAATAAATAAAATATGCATGCAAAGTGGCCAAAGGTACCTGCAGTGTTGATACGTGTTGCGGATTGAATTTGTTTTCTACGTAACGCAACATCAATGAAGTTTTGCCCACAGCACCTTCGCCTAGTAATACGATCTGAAACGAAAGCACTTAAACCTTTCCAGAAATGTATTTCGAAAATCTTGAATCTTTTAAGCAAATGACTTCATTTCCGCAATATGAGCAAAACATTGGTATTATAATTCATATCTTCCTCACTAGGACATTTCCGAAATAAGAAAACAGTTTCTGATTTTTGGATAGTGTAGAGTTCATTTTTCACCAGTTGAAATAAAGTGGTATTCAATTATAAAAGGGCAGCAGTGACCTAATGCTGCAGAGACGAGATCTCGAAGAACTTCAAACATGCTGCAAAGTGTCACTGCTTCCTAACTCTCATATCTTGATAGCCTGTAATCAACGAACATATTGTGAGGAAAGCTTACGCATTATTACACGCCTCTTTACCAAGAATCTTATGTACGATAGCGACTTATTCCGCTGCTTACAGCATTTTAAAAATAACATTGATTGTGCGGCTGTTAAGTCTAATAATATAAAGTTCATTAATCGACGAAATAAAATACCTTGAAATTTAGCAACGAGTTGCCCGTCATCGAAGTACTGGGTATTGTTTCCATTCCAGGAAATAATAACCCAGTGTCGAAAGTGAATTAAGTGTCGGATAGCAACCTGATATAGTGCAGGAACAATATGTGATTTTAAAGCAGAAATGTCCGTAAGTTTCCCAGAAAAGTACTTTCGTTTGTTAGAGCAAGTCTTTTGGTGAAGAATTTCTTGTAATATCAACTGATAAAGAAAAAGATACCCGTTTTCTACAAATATCCCACTGCTTGTGCATCAGGAAGAAAGTGTAACGGAACAGAAAGTACCGCAAATCATCAAAACAAGAAGCAACAAAACAGCGCTTTATGGCTTTCGGCAGTTTTTCAAATTAATGAATACTAATCTTTTGCTAAAGTAGAATATCTTTAAAAAAATTCATGCTGGACACTGCATATAAGCATAGCAAAAAAAAACATAAAACAAGCAAACATAAAACTGACAATTTTCCTGCTCAAATGCCTTATAAGTGCTGATAGAACGCATCATTATGAATAAACTGTCTATATGTCCCATTCACAAGATTTCCACAGTCTCCAGCTTCTGCTAAGAGTAGTTTGTAACAGGTACGGTTTTTCCAATCTTTTCTAAAACTTTCCATTCATCCCACTATTTATTTCAAGAAAAAACCGATTTTTAAAAAATTGAGATCACAGTAAATAACATATAATCAGAAATACAACAGTTAAATTGACAGCTACAACTGTCCACACTGTGTAATAACAATAGGAATTTTCGGTTTGTTATTTTGACCTGTTGGAACATTTTCGATTTTTCGCACAGTTAATAAACCGTCCAATACTCTTCCTGCAAAAAAATTCCTGATTTAAAGTTGCCATCTCAGCAGCAGAAAACTGAGGAGCGAATCGTTTCATTAAACGGGAAAATTAAAATGTTTATCAAAAATATTAAAGATTAATACAGTTTCACCGACTGGCAACTAACCGAAAACAACGTGCTTTTTATCAAGAAAGTCACACTTCGCACAAGTTATAAAAAATTGACAACCATTTGTATCTGGTCCAGCATTCGCCTGCAAAACAGTCATGGAACTTTTGTTTATAAAAAATTTAAACCATTCGTTTATAAAAAACTTAAACCATTTGTTTATAAAAAATTTAAACCATCAAGCCGCTTTAATAATAAGTTACCATAGACAAAATTCCTGGTCCTGAATGTTCCAAATCAAAATTTTCATCCCTAAATTTCGACCCATATATACTTGTCATCCCGGTACCATCACCCTGCAACAGTGTAACAGAACCGCTGAATAAAAATGAATAATACAAGAAGCATGGAAAAATGAAGCTAGCAAAAAACTTTACCAATTTTGACTTTATATAATAAAACTGCTCAAACGATAGGCAAATTGTTCTATCTACATACCGCACTGAAATAACAATTGAACCTAATTAGCACAGATTCATTTCTCACTGAATGACAGCAGACGACATTGCCTGTGAAGATGAACAAACTAACATTGACAAAGTCGCCTCCCTGAATCATGAAATCCTTGATCACTCTATGAAATTGAGCATTTTTGTAGCCAACTGGGACACCATCTCTGCGATATTCGCCAGTGCAGAATTGCCTATAAAATTGGATTCAATTATGAGAAATATCCGAACAATTGATACATTACCAATTATAAAACATACTCTTTATTTACAAGATCCTAACATCATACTCTCATTTATTCAACAAATTGCAACATTCTCTTCAAACCTGAAATTTTCAGCTGTTTTTGGACAAACATCTGCGAATAGTTCCATTTTGATTGTACCAATCGGTGCACCACCAGCAGTCATTTCCATGAATACTATAGGATTATCTAGATGCCTTAACTGTTCCGCCAAGTGGTCATAATCGCTCATATCTTCAAGCTGCAACTATTCCATATCGTTATGGTACTAAATAATGTTTCTAAATTGTCATGGTAATACCGAATAATATTTTTTGTCATATTAATCAGCACAATCACTTCTTCTAACCTAAGAGAAAGTACATCACATCTAAACGCAGACAACCATCTAATCCATTCTCCAACAACACTCAACAAAAAACAGCATGTAATGTTAAAAGTCCCAGTATATCACCTTGAGTTTCTCGCTGTGAAATTCATGATCTCGCAAGTATCTGAATGGTATCAATGTATTAAAAAATCTTTCTGCTTGAAAATGCTCGAAGATTTAAAACATTTGCAAATATCTAATGATTGGTAGGGAACAGTTAGTTTAATTAGTTTAATTATCTTTATCAAACTTTAAAATTTAATATTCTACAACTTTGCATTTTCGTATTGCTTTATAATCTCATGCAAAATAGATTTAGCAAGTATATATCATTTATGGATTACGATTGAAGCTTTTTTCAAAAATTTGATTATTAAGAGATATTCTCTGTTGATCATTCATCCTTTCCCAGTTTGTTGAAATAATGAAAGTATGATAGCAATATGATAATGACTGGTATGAATGAAGCATTTCGTGTCTTAGGAAATTTTGTTCAATCTCTTTCAGTATCAGCCATTCATGGATTGGATTTATTTCGAGATCTCCAGCATCTAATTGCATAAAAAGGGATATGTGGAAAGAAAATAATAAGCATGAAAAATATATGTGCTTGTTTGTCGAGAAAAAATATAAAAAGTTGAGCTGTAGTGATTAATAATAGTAACAATACTAATTAATAAATAATGATAATAAAACAATAATAATTAACAATAATAATAATAATAAAACAATAATAATTAATAATAATAATAACAATAATAATAATAATAATAATAATAAAACGATAATAATTAATAATAATAATAACAATAATAATAATAATATAAATAATAATATTATTAATGGTAATAATAACGATAATAATTAATAATAACAATAATAATAATTAATAGTAATTAGAAGTAATAATAATCAATGGTAATAATAATAATAATAAATGATGATTAATAATAATTAATAATAATAATAAATAATAATTAATAATAATAACAATATTAATAATAATAACAATAATAATAATAATAATAAAAGGGTAGGAAGAGCGCACATGATAATGAGAAATGATTTAATATGAGTATAATGATGGTTTAATTAGCTCATAATAAAAATGTAAAATGTCATTTTGAAAATAATTTCAAAGCAAGAAGTAGTCGGTGATGATTCATTTCATCATTACTTCTTCCATTGTCTTAAATTATGCGGGGGTGATTATCATTCAATGCTATCCATGTCATACTTCCTTCACCCATCTTTTGTGTGCTTTTTCGCTTCGTTTAACCATAACCATAACTATTTCATCATTTCATTTTGATTTGAAGGACACTCTAAGTGACATTTCACATCTCATTACGTTTGTAATAGTATACATTTGGGAGTATTTCGAGAAATATTCTTTGGTACTTTCAATGTCGAATAGTCAAGTCATCATCGGTTAACTAATCATCTATCATCATCGGTCGCTAGCTTAAAGTGGAAGGTTTCAAGGATTTTGTTTGTGCGAGATGTGGTGGCGAATTCATTGAGGAACTTTCCACAGACAGCAGGTCATATATGTCGCCATTTGGGATGGTATGTTCATCTTTTTTT